TGTCTGGTGGGATGGAGGGGGGATATATGGGGGGGTGCATGGATGCGTCATGTTTGGACACGTGTGCGCCCAGCAGAACCCGGCACCTGCAGGGTCTGGATCGCGGTTGCCGTGGCAACGGCGCCTCCATCCTCATCCTCAGCCCGCCACCCCCGGGGTTCTCCGGATCGCAGGGAGGGGGGGGGATGCTCCCACTCGGAGAGGGTGATGGGGGGGCTGGAGCCATCGCTGCCAACACCCCCCCAGTGCTGATTTACACCGCAGCAGCGGCGGCTGGTGGGGAAATGCCCCAATTCCCATCGCGGCGGGGGCTGATCCCGAGGGTGCTGAGCACCTCGGGGGAGACAGGATGGGGGCAGGGTGCAGCAGTGCGGGGGGATGTCCCCAGGGTGAGCAGATGGAGACCGAAGCAACATCAGCCCTGCCGGGGAGAGGCTTTGCTGGGGTAAGGGGTGCAGTGGGGCGCATCCTGCCCGTGCCCGGGTACCGCTTCGCCCTGCCAGGATGGTGCATTACACCCAGCTCCTGCTCATCCCAGTGGGAATCTCCCCCCACCGGGATAATACCGCTGCCTTAACGGTGGAAAACAATCCCCTTGCCAATGGCTTGGCCTCATCCTGCATCTCCCCACGGCTGCAAAACCAAACCCCCAGCCGCCGGTGCGGCGCGTGGTGCTGAGCCTGTTCAGCTCACCGATCCGGCCCTTGGCTTTGGTCCCAAGCTGGGACAGCTCGGGAAGATGCCAGGAGCATCATATTGAGGCGGGGAACGACAGGCTGTGCGAGGGTTGGGGAAACTGAGGCAGGGGGAGGGCCGGGGGGGGGGGGGTGTCAGGCGCTCTGCACCCCTGAAGCCCATCCTCCGGTGGGTGCCCTTCAGCCCATGATTACAGCAAATTAATCCGGCGGTGAGAGTGTTAATAAACTTCAGGCTGTAACGAAGAGGGGAGGTCTCAGCCGGCGTCGCTGAGGACCCCGGCATCAACGTGTTTCGGGGGGGGCAGATTTCCTGGGAGGGCTTTGACCCGTCACCGTAATATTTGGCTCTGGACAGTTTTCTCCTTGCTTGGCTGAAAAGGCGGATATCAGCTTGGTGGGTGAGTGGGGAAACTGAGGCACGGCTCTGTTCTCAAGCACCGAACAGGATCTGGCCAGGATCCCTCCCATTGCTCCCTGGGGACCACCGGGTAGACGATGGCCTCCAGCCGTGGTGAGGATGGTTGGGTTAAGGCTTCCTTCTGTGGTTGCAGAGCGGCTTTGCGGCACTCGTGTCCCCGCCAGGAGCAGTAGGGGGGACGCAGCCCCACGTGGCCGGGGGACACGGGCTCATCCCACGAGGAGATGGGGGACGTGGGGGTATGGCGGCTCCAGCAACCCTCGTCGCGGCAGCAGGTCAGGGGAACCTGGTCCCAACATGCTGTGGTGGCCGGGTGGGACATTTCTGCACCAGGGTTGTTGATGGCATCGCTGCATCCAGGGCTGTTGGGGTGTCCAAGCACCCAGGACCTTTGGAGGGTCCTTGTCCACAGGGGCTTTGGGGTATCTGTGCACCTACAGCATTCGGGGTGTCCCTGCACCCACGGCCTTTGGGGTGTCTCCGTTAATGGGACACTTTGAGTGTCTCTGTGCCCAGGTTCATTGGAGCATCTCCACACCCAGGGCCTTTGGGGCATCTCTATACCCATGGCCTTGGGGGTGTCCAAGCCTCCAGGGACTTTGGGGTGTCTCACACCCAAAGCTTGGGGTGTCCAAGCACCCCGGGCCTTTGGACAGTCTCCATGAGCAGGACCATTGCAGTGTCTCCATACCCAGCATCTTGGAGGATCTCCTTTCCTAGGGCCAGCGGAGGATCTCCGCACCCAAAACATTTGGGGTGTCTCACACCCAGGGCCTTTGGAGCATCTCCACAGCCAAAACTTTTGGGGTGTCTCACATCCAGGGTCTCCGGAGAGTCTACGCGTGCAGAACTTTTGGGATATCTGTGCACCCAGGGCACTTGGAGCATCTCTGCACCCAAAACTTTTGGGGTATCTCTACACCCAATGTCTCTGGAGCACCTCCACACGCAAAACTTTTGGGGTATTTCTGAACCCAGGGCCCTTGGAGCATTTCTACACCCAAAACCTTTGGGGTGTCTCACACCCAGAGTCTCCGGAGCGTACCCACACACAAAACTTTCGGGGTATCTCTGCCCCCAGGGTCTCTGGAGCATCTCTGCACCCAAAACTTTTCAGGTATCTCTGCACCTTTGGAGCACCTCCACATGCAAAACTTTCAGGGTGTCTCTGCCCCCAAGGCCCTTGCAGCATCTCGCACCCAAAACTTTTGGGGTGTCTCAGCACCCAGGGCCCTTGCAGCATCTCGCACCCAAACCTTTTGGGGTGTCTCACACCCCGGGCTCTGGAGCACCTCGCCCCCAGGCTGAGCTGCAGGGGCATCCCCCCAGTTGCTGTGCGCAAGAGGGGTCTCCAAGCCCCACAACTGAGAAGACCCCGACCCATCTGCTTCCCAAGACTGACAGACCATCCCACACCACCACCTCCCCGTGCCC